GGGGGGGGTGCCCGGCGCCGATGCTGCCCCCGACAGAGCCCCGGTCCTCGCCGAAGGGTGCCCCCGGGCGCGAGAGGGGCTGCATGGAACAATAGTGCGGATGAGCGGGGACAGCCGGCGACATCCAGGGGGCAGTGCCTTTAGCCATGGAGCCAACGGGGCGGGGGAAGGGGGCGCCGAAGGCAGGGACGCCTGGTGTCCGGTGCGCGCTGAGATGCGGGGTTTTGGGGGCAGCGGGCGTGCCTGATGACAGTCAAGGCAGGGGAGAGAGAGAGAGAGTGTGTGTGTGTGTGAGTGTGTGTGTAAAAGGTACAGCCAAGGGGATGGGGGTGGCGGACCGAAGGTGTTGGAGAATGACATTTCCAGGAATCCCCGCTAGGATCCCTCATCCCTCGGCCGCGACTCTCCCGGAGAGTGTGGTGATGGCAACGATGAAGGCAGGATGCACTTGGTCTGTGAGTGTGGAGAGAGGCGCTGGGGTAGGTGCGGATTTGTAAAATCCCATGTGTGTGAGTGTGTATGTGTGTGTACTCGTGTGATTGCATCCGCGCTCCCCTAACTGCGCTCCAAACCCAGAGATCTGCCGGTGCCCTGACTCGCCGTCAGCCGCTGACTGTGGGACAGTGTTTGTTATCTTGACCCTGCAATTCTGAGTACAGTCTGTGTTCTGCTCGTGTGTGTGGACGGGCGGCGTGCAGGGATTCTCACTTCCCCTTTCTCTGGCTTCTGGACATGAGGATGTGGAAGTGTGCATGTGGGCTTAGGGCGCATGGCAGGCAGGGAAATAGGATAATGGTACCCCTTCTGGGCTTGCTAGCCTTCTGGGGTTTGGAAGGGAGCTTCTATCCCGTGATACTTCTCTCCTCGGCCCCTGTTCTGTAAGGGTCTCTGATGCCCTGACTCTGCAGTTTCCATTGTTTATCTCTTGTCTGACCTGAAGGAGAAGGGTCTTTAATGGCCACATTCGTCTCTCCGTCGCCACAACTTTGAATGTCAACTAGACCTTCTCCTTTCACATTTCAGCACTGCAAACCTTAAGGCTGGAGAACCGGCGATCTTTATGTTGGTTCTTGTAGAATGAACTCTGGAGGTGTGAATAGAAAGATGGGGTCAGGGGAGTGTTTGAAAAGAAGAAGAAGATCATACTGAGAAATGTTTGGTACCCCCCCTTGGTCAGCGTCACATAGGCAGGGCGTTTTCCTAAGGAAAAGGGACACTTTATTTCTACGGCTGGTGTCATCCACTCTTCCAGCTTTCACAATGGCTCGGTGGTGCCATATGTCATTCACGAACTGAAATCTCCTGAGACCCATGATAATGGGGTCCTGGGTTGGTGAGGTCTGCTTTCCTAGCCAAGGTAGCCTGCTAATAGAGAATTTGAAAAATGTCACGCTGGCAATAAGTCACCCAGTGGGAGCCAGGATGCAGAATTGCATCCAGAGAGTATAGCTGTTTAATTGTCTCTGTGTGATAAAGATAGGCTTATGTGGGCTTGGGTAGAGATAGGGAGATAGCATATTCATATGTGTGTCCACTGCAGTTTGACTCCCAGTGCCTGTATTTCTCCTGCGGTATTTGTGCGAATTAATGCACCTCTACACTTAATATCTTGAGACTTCTTTATAAAATGTTGTGTGACTAGATTAGCCTGCTGAGAACATATTTAAATCACAACACCTTAAATTCTACTGCATTGCTGTCAGAATCCAAACTGTCTGCCCCAGTCCTCTTGGAAAAGCCTCTAGCAGGCATGGCTATCCAAGTAAATATATAACACGTTGGCATCAGAGGGTTCTTTCTCTTTTTTCCTTTTAAAAAAATTTTTGTTTTGGCAAAGGTTGCGTGATATTGTTGTTACATCAAAAACAATAAAACTCGTGCTGTGCTCATACGGTTTTTCTTCCTGTTTATCTTCTCTTAATTAACGATGATATATAGACCAGGTGCTCTTGAAGCTGTGGACATTACATTTCCCCATGTCCTTCAGTCAAGCCTTCTAAAATTTTAATGTGAGGTTGTTGGATCTCCTCCAAGATTTAAGGATAGATTTATAAAAATGAATTTTGAATCTTAGTTCTTTACTCCATGTCAGTTCTGCCAATGTCTTTCTGAGAAAAGTACTTATGGAATTTAAAAAGCATTCGAAGAGGTTGTGTGTGTGTGTGTGTGTGTGTGTGTGTGTGTGTTTGTCTTTATATTTTCAAGTAAAATCCAGAGATGTAAAGGTCTTACAAGAAAGTTTAAGAATGTTAGAAATTGACAAGGTAAATACACTGTTCAGAAGAAGAAGAATTATACAACAACACAATTGATGACTCAGGCAGGAATTAGTGATTTCCTTTCTAATATAAATGTGATAATTAAAAAAAAAAAAATACAGTGGCTGGCTTTTCCAAAGACTGGACTGGCAAGGTTAATGATACAGCTTGAATCCTATAATTCAGTCTGGTAAACAGCCTTACCTTTTGCTGTAGCCCCCAGCAAGCTGTTTGTTCTGCACGGATGCATTTTCTTCACTTAAAGTACCATTAATGCTTTTCTTTTCCATTATTGGGTCTCTTAAAGAAGTTAGTTTTTCAGAAAACTTGGAAGTAAAAGGCATTTGAAAATTGGCCTGTGGGGCCAAAAGAAATAAACTATGGTACCGTGGGGAGATGGGGCTTGTGTCCTACCAGGAAAAAGTAACTGTTACTAAAATGGAGAGAATTTCAAGGACTAGAGGCCAAAGTTAACCCTTTGGGTTACAGTCATTAACTTACAAGTATTTCTTAACTGACTACTCGATCTCAGGCTGTTTGTACCTTTGAATAGAGTTTGGGGGATGTCCAGAGCGGCACAGATGTGAAGAATAAGGAGACTTAGATCCTGCCCAGAGGAAATTCATGGCCTGGAAGGAGAGACAGGGCATACACATAACTGACTACTATAAAAATGGGGCAAAAGTGAGGTACCTGGGTGGCCCAGTCGGTTAAGTGTCTGCCTTTTGGTTTCATCTCAGGTCATGATCTCACAGTTTCGTGAGTTTGAACCCCATTTCGGGCTTTGCACTGGCAGCACAGAGCCTGCTCGGGATTCTCTTTCTCTCCCTCTCTCTCTGCCCCTCTGCCACTTGCACTATCTCTGTCTCTCTCAAAACCAATAAACACTAACTTAAAAAAATGGGCAAAATGGCTACATTACCCAAAAAGCCACATTCCTCCCATGCTGTGGGTGTTTGCAAGGTATAACAATGACTTCCAGTGGAAGAATTAGTGAACATTACATGGAAGAGATCACATTTGAGCTGCGATTTATTTATTTTTTTTTTTAATTTTTTTTTTCAACGTTTATTCATTTTTGGGACAGAGAGAGACAGAGCATGAACGGGGGAGGGGCAGAGAGAGAGGGAGACACAGAATCGGAAACAGGCTCCAGGCTCCGAGCCATCAGCCCAGAGCCTGATGCGGGGCTCGAACTCACGGACCGCGAGATCGTGACCTGGCTGAAGTCGGACGCTTAACCGACTGCGCCACCCAGGCGCCCTGAGCTGCGATTTATACAGGCGGTGTCTGGGCTGGCAGGGAAGGAAGGGCACGTGTGAGGAGGAGTGACTAGCAGAGACTTGGTGACAGAAAAGTGTGTGTTTGCCCAAAGAATCGTGTGTTTTGGCTGAAGTGCAGGGAATGCCAAGGGATGTAATGAGAGAGAAGGTGAGAAAGAGAGGCTTTCAAGGTTGTGGAGCAACCGGTGTGTGGATTTCAGTAAGTACCAGGGAGCCATGGGAGGCTTCTGAGAGAGAGGGTCGACAGGGTCAGAACTGTGCTTTAGGGCAACAACCTTGTAGCAATGTGTTGGACATAATGCAGTGAGAAAAGACTGGTTGGAGGGAGACCAGATAGAGTCCTTTGCCAAATTAAGGGTAAGAGGAAATGAGGCAGTGGGAAGAAGAAGAAGAGAAGGGCTCCAGGTGGGGTGTGGGAATAATCTAAATACTGACAAGGGAAGTCAAAAGTCA